ACCATTAAGATATCCAAACATCGTCATACAGTTTTGTTGTGATCGAAAGTTTCAGTAAAAACTGGTATTTTCACCACCGTAAGTAAATATATTCTATTGGTAAATTTTGTTATATTATATATATTTTGTTATATTATATTATATATATTTTGTTATATTATATTATATATTTTGTTATATTATATTATATATACATTTTGTTATATTATATTATATATACATTTTGTTATATTATATTATATATATTTTGTTATATTATATTATATATTTTGTTATATTATATTATATATTTTGTTATATTATATTATATATATTTTGTTATATTATATTATATATTTTGTTATATTATATTATATATATTTTGTTATATTATATTATATATTTTGTTATATTATATTATATATACATTTTGTTATATTATATTATATATATTTTGTTATATTATATTATATTTTGTTATATTATATATTTTGTTATATTATATTATATTTTGTCATATTATATTATATATTTTGTTAAGATAATACAGTATTTAAAAGTGTATTCTTTTGGCTATATAATTGTACATTCTTTTGTTTGATAACTATGACTGGGACGGTACACACAGGTCATATCCAGCAAAATGGCGGTTTGAGGTACACGTTTGATTTGGGGCAGATTGACACGCGTGTCAACCAACCTCACAATGAGCAATTTTCAGGTGTTTTTAAGCTCTTAAAACAAAGATAGATATAATACAAAAATAGTTAAATACATTTTGATTAATTTTAATTAATTTTCAAATATTGAAACAAATTGATGAAAATTAATTAAAATTCTGGCAAATTCCTAATTGTGTTGCTCCCCCCCCCCTTCTGTTATTTTCTTGTGATATTTTTTCTAAGCTTTGAACTTCAAACTGTGTTTGTATGCACGATGGTGAGAAACAGTTAAAGTGTTTTTTATTTCATTTATTTAAATGTGCAATAAATATATTGATATAAATAAAATGTTTCTGATCGAATTTCATCCGTGTTAACTTACCCCAGAGCACGTGTCACCTTGTTCCGTACTCGGGTAGGTTGACACACAGTGCACACTGTTCTATTATGTTCATTTCAGGGGAAATTGATTTGTTTTTGTTATGCAACAGCGGAAGGTGTCTGGCTATGTTGGTATCGAATTTTTTTATTTCTTTACTGAATATATATAGCACTATTATACCCACCAGTACCGGTAACTTGGGATTCAGTACTTAAATTAATATCTGTTTACTGAAGTACTATTATACCCACCAGCACTGTAACTGGGGATTCAGTACTTAAATTAATATCTGTTTACTGAAGTACTATTATACCCACCAGCACTGTAACTGGGGATTCAGTACTTAAATTAATATCTGTTTATTAAAGTACTATTATACCCACCGGCACTGGTAACTGAGGATTTAACCCTTTTATAGAACAATTTAATTTCTGATTACTTTACCAGCTTGAACATTACCACCCACTTCTATATCTACAACAAATATTATAATTTTCTTTCCTTAGTTTTGCCAGTTTTACCTGTAAAATATAGAAGAACATAACTGGTAACAATATTGAAGTTGTTTTTTTTTAATTCAGTGTAATTAACAGGATAATTAAAGGCAAAGAGGAAAAATCATGAATGCACACAACTTATCTGCTTATATACATATTTAGCCAGTATTCTGGCTCTTCTCGAAGCGATCAGATCATAGCGACAGAATCTTATATATATTGCGAACCATAGTGTCTATGAAAGCTTTCGTCTGTGTTTCATTTACAGCGGTCGCTTCCCGCGTTGCGTTTGAAAAGCTACGCACTCAGGCAAAGCTCAACATTCACTTTAGAAATGACGGGAGAACAGGCATGAATAATGTTAATGCCAAATTTTATTTCGCAATCAGGATATTCTACACTAAAATGTTATGAATTGATCACATTATCATTCACATTTCAAAATGTGACGTAACTTAAAGAATAAAAATGTAGATTTATCGTATGTTATTGTTGAGCGGTTCTTAGCATAACTGAAATGCTCAACAATTGCTTTCCACAGTAGGCAATATAAGTTGATCAGAGCTTTGGCTTTGAGTGAAACCAAGAGTGCAATACAATTAACCTTTTTAAAGTCCACGAAATAATTTAAACTGATAGATTAACTTAAACATTCATGTCACTGGGGACGGGTACTTTTGCTTGTACAAGATAATTAAAACCAAATCAAATTCATTGAGCATTTTATCCAAGATTTCTAAGATATAGACATTAACAAAATGTCCTCTGTTTAAAGTAGTCAAAGTTAAGTACTTTGTAAATCATTTGATTAATGTTTTCAATCTGATATTCAACTATTTAGACTCGAATAATCTTCTATGAAGTACAACCATTCTATTAATATATTTCCTTTCTTTTTTTTTCTGCAATTGAGATAAACGGTAAAAAGGTTAAAGGTTACGGATGTTATTTGAATTAATTAATGTTTTTTTGTATTAAACATGAATTTCCAAATGTATTAAGAATTTTACAGTTTATATATGATAAACGAGTGTTGAATCGAACTTAGCTCACCGTGACCTAGACCAGCAGTTATAGATTAAATCGAAGAAGCTTTCAGTCTCATCAGTATTGACTCACAGTCACGGCATGCCAAGCTCAGTTTTAAGTAGACCTAATGTATAAGCCTCAAATTCTTGAAATGTAAGTACATATACACGCATGAATACTTACACGCTGTAGTATATAAATATTTTAGGTTACTTTGATATAAGATTTTAAATTTTTAATCAAACTCACGATCTCCTGTATCCTTTACTGAAATTTTAGTCACATTTTTTGGGCCAAGTAAAGCTCCGCCTGCCGTTTCACTGGATGGACTTCCTAGCCTCAACCGGAACATTTCGTCGTTCTCGTGAATAGTGTCGTTCACCAAGATCACCGTGCAAGGTTTCTCGATCTCACCTAGCGGCAGGTACAAAAAATAAATAAATAAGCAATAAAATAAACACGATTTATCTTTCGTTAAAAATAATTGAATCATGTCCCGTGTCTTGGAGACGAGAATTACGCTCGTTTTGATGTTGTTGTTTTTTGCTTTAATTAAGTAAAAAAAGATTTAAAATTCGTCTTTTTCCATAAGTAAACTAAAGTAATAAAAGCAGTGTGATGCGATTTTGCTAACTTTGTTTATAGCAGACGAGTGAAATCAATGGAAAAAAATGTTCATTTAACTTTAGACGTAATTAGCTGTTTATGTATACATATGCATTTCGAATAAACTTAATGTAATACAGTTAGAAATAGGGCCATTCAGTTGTTATAGAAAACCTATTTAACAAAATATAGGAACATTAAGTACTTGTTTGATTTATTATTCAAATATGGCTTTTTTTGCGTTTACATTTGAACAAATTGAATCTTTTTAAACCGTCTTCAAATTAGGGAAAAATCTCGTGAAATTTGTTAATAGGACGATTCCACTCCATTTTAAGATATCGAGTGGTTTACACATAAAGTCAACTGATCCGAATTTTACTTCGAAATACGATTACTTCATTGTTTTCTCGAAGTTAAATATTACCTGGTTCAAAATACACGAGCGAATCATCAGTATTGGGCCTTTCAATGAAATCTTTTTCGACTTTGGCAGTGTCCTGACGAGTGTAGCAACGAACAGTGGTCACGTGATTTAGGTCTCCGCTACGTAAGATGTAGGCTGAAACATTTCCATCGTTTTCAAAGGCTAAGTACTCTGAATCCCGAAACTGCATCATTGGCACTGGAAGTTGAAATATGATGTTAAGGCTTATAAAGGATAAACAAAATAATAATACTGCTGTTAAAAGTCACTGGCTTTGTTCAATGGGAAATATTTATTAATTTTTTACTTGTTAACAAAAGGCTTCTCGTGCTATATCATCAGGTGTGATTACTGCTTCTTGAAGTGATGTATTGTGACAAAAAACGTAACCACTTCACTGGAACCATAATTTTCAATCTGAACGGCACCTTATAGGAACGTGAGCTAAACGGCGAGGTCAGATGTTAGGGTTCGGGTATAGCCGTCCCTAATTTTTAACTGCTGACTAGAGATAGTGTAACCAGTTAGAAGCACCCACCGCCACTAAGGATTAATCCAGCTTTTTGAATCGATTAATGGTATCATTTCCGCTTTTATAATACGCAGTCGTGGCGTCACGTCTCGAACCTTGGACTGCTAGGCTACATCCCAACCTCGTGAGAAAGATAACTTTAAATACTTATAAGAAGATTTTGGTTAAAACAGGCTAATATTTTTCCTCGCAGATAAAAGTATTAATGTAAGAACATTCTCACTCGCGAGGTTTTCACTGTATTTTAAGTTGTATTTGAGTAATGTGTTCTGGGTAAACTTTTTTAACCAGTGTCTTTCACTAATGAACATTTTGTGAACATCTATCAGACATTAATACTTTCACTAACGAACATTTTGTGAACATCTATCAGGCATTAATACTTTCACTAATGAACATTTTGTGAACATCTATCAGGCATTAATACTTTCACTAATGAACATTTTGTGAACATCTATCAGGCATTAATACTTTCACTAATGAACATTTTGTGAACATCTATCAGGCATTAATACTTTCACTAATGAACATTTTGTGAACATCTATCAGGCATTAATACTTTCACTAATGAACATTTTGTGAACATCTATCAGGCATCAATAAAAGCTCTTCTCTCGATAATTTGGACAATAAAATATCTGCCGAAATTTTGTTCGTTTTAGAGTAAAGCCACATTGAGCTATCTGCCGTGTCCACAGCGGGGGAATCGAATCCTGGATTTTAGTCTTGTGAGTCCGTAAACCTACCGCTGTCCTACTGGGACACATTTGCCGAAATTTCCAATTAAACCGAGACGTTTCTTGAGATGCCATACAGATGTATTTTTATATACAAAACATATATCTTTATATCATTTTTAAAAGTTTCATGTTTATTCACCAGTTATTTATGAGCAATGTTATATTTATTTGTTTTTAACATTAAAAAAGTAAAAGTCCAATCTGTCTATTCATGTCACGGAAGCCACGGTTTTGACGTACTTGTATATTTAATTAAATTTTGTTGTTTTTTAAAAATCGACTTAACCTGGAAAGAATTTCATTATTTCATTGGATATCGGGACTAACGTATTCTCTATTAAAATGACAGCACTTACAGTCTGAAATGGAATCGTTAATCGTCACCAAAGCCTGACTTGGATCTCCCAGCTCTGCGTTCATAGGCATGCGCAGAACTAACTCGAAAGTCTCCGATCCTTCAACGACTGGCTGACCCAGGTCATCTAAAATGGTGACTCTAAAGGTTTCTAAGGTTACTCCAGGAGGAAAATCCAAAGTCTTCCCGATACCAACGTAATCGTTACCGGCTATGATTAAGAGAAATAGAGTATAAAGTCAAAAAACGTAAACATTATTTAAGTTTTTTATTACACATAAACATTATTTAAGATCTTTTTTATTACACATAAACATTACTCAAGTTATTTTACTACACATAAACATTATTTAAGATCTTTTTTTATTACACATAAACATTACTCAAGTTATTTTACTACACATAAACATTATTTAAGATCTTTTTTATTACACATAAACATTATTTAAGATCTTTTTTATTACACATAAACATTACTCAAGTTATTTTACTACATATAAACATTATTTAAGTTTTTTATTACACATAAACATTATTTAAGTTTTTTATTACACATAAACATTATTTAAGTTTTTTATTACACATAAACATTATTTAAGTTATTTTACTACATATAAACATTACTCAAGTTATTTTACTACACATAAACATTATTTAAGTTCTTTTTTATTACACATAAACATTATTTAAGATCTTTTTTATTACACATAAACATTACTCAAGTTTTTTATTACACATAGACATTATTTAAGATATTTTTATTACACATAAACATTACTCAAGTTATTTTACTACACATAAACATTACTCAAGTTTTTATATTACACATAAACATTACTCAACTTTTTTATTACACATAAACATTACTCAACTTTTTTTATTACACATAAACATTACTCAAGTTTTTTATTACACTTCAACTATAATTCACTCCCAGCTTTAACGCTTTCTTCCTAAACAACATATTGACAACTCATATTATATGACATTAATGTACTGATCCTAAATTATAATATTAATTTAAAGTAACTTCCTATTACAATAACCTTCATATCCGAAATACTTAAGCTACTTGTAACCACATCCTATTGTAGTAGGCTTCTATAACCATAAAACCGATATATTAAACCATAGTCTCATACTATTATAGTGACCTACAACCATTAAACCGCTATACTAACCTATAGTCTCATCCTATTAGTGATCTACAACCATTAAACCGCAATACTAACCTATAGTCTCATCCTATTAGTGATCTACAACCATTAAACCGCTATACTAACATATAGTCTCATCCTATTAGTGATCTACAACCATTAAACCGCTATACTAACCTATAGTCTCATCCTATTAGTTTTCTACAACCATTAAACCTCTATACTAACCTATAGTCTCATCCTATTAGTGATCTACAACCATTAAACCGCTATACTAACCTATAGTCTCATCTTATTAGTGATCTACAACCATTAAACCGCTATATGAACCTATAGTCTCATCCTATTAGTGATCTACAACCATTAAACCTCTATAGTAACCTATAGTCTCATCCTATTAGTGATCTACAACCATTAAACCGCTATACTAACCTATACTCTCATCCTACTATAGTGATCTACAACCATTAAACCGCTTTACTAACCTATAGTCTCATCCTATTAGTGATCTGCAACCATTAAACCGCTATACTAACCTATAGTCTCATCCTATTACTGTTCTACAACCATTAAACCTCTATACTAACATATAGTCTCATCCTATTACTGTTCTACAACCATTAAACCTCTATACTAACCTATAGTCTCATCCTATTACTGTTCTACAACCATTAAACCTCTATACTAACCTATAGTCTCATCCTATTACTGTTCTACAACCATTAAACCTCTATACTAACCTATAGTCTCACCTTATTAGTGATCTACAACCGCCACACAGTTACATCAACTTTCTACCACGAAACTGCTATAACGAAATATTTTCGTTCAATATTTCCATCTTATAAAAAACAACAACAAATTTTCCAGATTAAAAAGCTAAGTACTGAAAAAAGTGAAAGAATAAATCTGAAAGAATGGAAAAAAAAGAAGAATCAATGTAAGAGTATTAATAAACGAATTAGTCTGAGAGAATTGAAAAAAGAATTAGTCTGAGAGGATTGAAAATAAGAATCAGACTGAGAATATTGAAAAAAAAGAACAGTAGGAGAGAATTGGAAAAAAAAAGAAAAACCAGTCTGAGATAGTTAAGAAAAGAGAGTTAGTGTAGAAGAATGAATCTGAGAGAGTTAAATAGAAGAAGAATCGGTATTGGAGATTTAGAAATAGAAACAGAAAGAATGAGTCTGAGAGAGTTAAATAGAAGAAGAATCGGTATTGGAGATTTAGAAATAGAAACAGAAAGAATGAGTCTGAGAGAGTTAAATAGAAGAAGAAT